TAACTTTGGGGAGGCCTTGTTGTGTATTTGTGGCTAAAGATGTCCAGCCTTGGGTCATTATTGAAGAAAACCCTTAAATTCAATAATCCTTAGTTAATGTGGATGAAAGTGAAGATGCTTCCTAATTTTTCTAGAACTCCAACTACACAACGGCACTGCCTAAAATAAATTTCCTTTCGTGAAAATTAATTGGTATAGATAATACTGAACTAGTACAATACTGAAATAATTTCTAGATGTATGGCTTTAGTTTTTCCACAATCTATTTCTGGGAAAAGTATTCCCTGTAAAGACTCTTATTTATTCATTACATAGTTTGCTGGCAAAGAGAGTTAAAACAATCCTTGTAATTTTACTAGGCATTCAATCTCAGTTGGTTTCCTTTGCTATGAGTAACTGACAACTTGTGATTTATGGATTTGGCTGTCATACTCTTTGTGTAAGAAGTGTTGCATATGCTTCAAGAGAAAAATGACTTAAAAGAAGAAAAGAGTGAAGTGATGCCAACTTCTGAAATTTTATTTGAAAACAGTGTTTGTTCTAACCTGACAGCACTTAAAATGTTCCTTTTAAGCTCTGAATCGTGTTTGCTAGATAATTTTTGAAAATATAGTTTGGGACATAATGCTTTAAAACATGCCACTTTTTAGTTCAGTTAAAGAATAAAGTGAAAGGCGACAGATTATTAGTTTCACCTTCTCATACTAAGAAATGCAGAATTATGCATCGACACGTGGCAACAGGTAAATTTCTCCAAAAACAGAAGTTACACAGTTTTTCATTTGCTTTTCAAGTGGAATATTTAGTGATGTAGGGGGATATGTCTGTGAACAGACTGTTTTTAAACCTAAAAATCTCTAAAGCAACTTTGCAACTTTACTATGGTTTGGCCTCATGCTACTTTTGCTGCTTTTTACTAGATTTTCTTAGCCCATGGATTTCACTGATTCAATTTCAGATCCCACAGAGTGTTAACCAGGTCTTTTCACACTTCTTTTTAGTGGCGATTGGATGCCTGTGAAAGAACTTGTACAAAGGCCAAGGGAGAGTACACAGCTCTTGCTTATGTACTTTTGATTACCACTGTTCCAATAGGACTTTCTGAAATGATTGCAATATTTTATGACAATTATCCAAATGTGACTATTCAGCATTTGGAGTATGACACATTTGATGGAGAAACTGAATACAATATTTTCTTTTCTTTTAATTAATTTGTATTTTCATTTAAATAATGGCAGGTGGCTGGTGGCTACCCCAGTAAATAATATAGGGAGATCTTGTGGCTTAGTCAATTATTGTAACTTCTCCCTATTGTAACGAAACACAAGACATAATAAACATATAAAGAGGAAAGATATATTTTGGCTAATGGTGGCAGAGGTTTGAGTCCATGGTCCCCTGGGTGTATTGCTTGGCCTGCAATAAGGTAGGACATCATGGTCGGAACTGTATGATGGAGAAGGATGATATTTACCTAACAGCAACTACGAAGCAGAGAAAAAAGAGAGGAAAGGGCTGGCATTCCACTGTGCCCTTCATGTCACAGCCCCAGGGACCAAACTTCCTCTCTCCAGTCTTACCTCCTAAACTTTTGACCTTTCAATAGCTCCAACAGCTAGGGACCATGCCTTCAACACAAAGTCTTTAGGGAGTATTTAGGATCCAAACCATAACACTTTAAAAACGAGCTTATGACTTTGAGAAGTTTCTGTCTAGACTTGTGGGTAGAGTTACAAATGGCTGCTCTGGATCATGTTCAAGGGTTTTCTCAGTGGTTCTAAACTGGTTAATATTTCCCTACTGAAGAAACAGATGAAAATGTGTTAGGCATTTATGGTTGTTGGAATGATGGGGATGTCCTAGTATTTAGTGAGCAGGGACCAGAAATGCTAAACGGCCTGAAATGCATAGGACAGACTTTATGATGAATCACTGTCCACCCTAAATGCCTATAGTCACCAATTTGACAAATTCAAGCACTCATCAGAATTGTCTAACTTTATTTGTGAGATTTGTGACCTCAATTCTATCTCTAGTTAATTTTTTTCCCTTCATTTTGTTTTTATTATAGCATGTTTGCTTAATTTACAGCAAGCAGAAAATAAGCTGGATCTTGTTTTGATCCAAACATTGATGGTTTAAAGGTTGTACACAATATTTGTTAAAAAGAACATATAAAAATACCTTTTTAGAAGCTTCTATAAGAAAGAAAATACAATGTTTAACCCCACAACTTTCCTCTTTGCTAGAACTGCAACTACTGCTACAATTTTAAAAAGACTTTTTGTTGTTTAAACTATACATCCAGGAAAATCTAAAAACAAGTTAAAGAAGCGCACATATAAATGATTGCATAGCAGAACATGAACATTAACTGCAAACAGTAAAGAAATGAAAGTTAGAAATACTATCAAATATACAAAGGTTCTAGAATCAATCCTTTAAACACATTCCACAAACAGTATGTAAAAACCATTTTTTTATCTTTACAGGCAAGGCCTAGATTTCTAAAACCAAAATTGAAAAAAAAATTCTCTAAAAGGAATCATTTCCCTACAATATTTCTTTCCTGTATCTGCAAGCAAGCATTCTGAGATTTTAGAAGATGCTAGCTTTTATTGTGAAATGAGACTGGACATTTCAAGTCATTCTTTATTGCCTCCAAGCAATCTTTTAGAGAAACTAGAAATTATAAATAATTGAGGTATTAATTCCTCATTTTTAGTCAGCTACTACAATGATAATAAAAAACTCAAAAGATGTGGCTCTTCCTTAAACTAGTCCTGTTTTCCAAAATTATTTAAAATTTCATGGCACCACAGAATCACCTAGGATGGGAGTGTTGTATTTCAACTTGCCTCACAGTAAATAAACTGAAATGTGAACAGCAAGCCTCCCTCATAAACAAGCAGTCAAATTTTGATACAAATGCACATGCTCAGTGCTGTAAGCATCAAAATTCAGTTCCTTTACCCTATACATACACACAAATAAAACTTACACTGAAACAATTTACTTCTAACAGCAGTAAAAAAACTAAGCAACAATGGTCAACACCGCTCCTTACATTTTAGAGTAACTACTAAGAGCATACTTTCCTCCTTAAAATTATTTCTGCCATCATTGACCTGCTCAAATTTAAAGGGGAGCTTTTTGATGTGTTTATGTTCCAAATATTCATAGCAACAGAAAATACGCATCACTGCCCAAGACAGTGGAGTTAATTTTTCCACACTGCATCATAAATGAGCTCTTATCTGGGCCTACCCACCTTGAAAGACATAAAGGTCCACCCTGAACCTAAATGTTTCTGAGCAGTCGGTGTTGAACTGTGGCTACAACTTCACTTTTGTATCATTCTATCTTACTAGCAAACTACATTTCTAGGTTAACAGTTCTACCAAATATGGATATGAAAGTTTATTTTTAATAAGACAATGTTGCAAATTATGGTCAACCAACATCTTTTCACCAAATACTTCAAGCATAAAAAATGAGAATCTTTATATGATTTATACCTTATTTCTTTGTTTCTCCTGAGGGACTTCACTTTCCTATTATGAACATTTCTGTTCTGTTCTCTAAACCATCCTTTTCTACATGTTAGCACACTCTAGTCTTTCCTATCTCAAATAATATCCTTTGTATATATCAGATCTTCTACCCATGACAGTCTCTTATTCCTCATTCACAGTACTGTACCCTGCCAATCTCAGAATGGCACATGTATTTATCTAGCTTTTGGAGGACAGCATTTTTGTATTGTAATAAAAAGAAAGTTGACACCATATGTGGTTTCAAAGCACACCATTTTATTACATAGACATGTCAGTAGAGTCGTCATACCACATTCCACTTCAAAATCATCTTGAGTGTGTATATCCACACAAACACACACACACACACACACACACATATTTTAAAATTTCTGGTGAGAGCACACTTTGATCCTTTTATACTTATAACTCCATCTCTCTTCAGCTCCATGATTAGCCGCAGGCATTTTTCCCTAATTTAGTACCGAGGATAGGTTGATACTAAAACTATAATATAGTCACTTAAAAAAATCCTAATTCATAGTCAATGTGCTGTCAAAATTAAATTTTCATTAGTAGAACAATATCTTCTGAACTTTATCCACCTATCTCCAGAATCACTACGCATCCCAAATAAATCACTCCAAATTGAGCCCTGAAAACACTGGAATGAAATAATTACATTGAAAGATATATCTATACTTGCTTAAAATTACACTGTAGACTATTTGGATAATTATAAGATTGCATATCTTTTTAAGTCTATGTCAAAGCAGTGATATGCCTATTTTTGTCTTTTAATGTGGGATTTTATAAATTACTTCAAAAGGCATCAAAATATCTTACTAATGTATTATAATTTTGTATTGTACAAACATGTCTACAGAGAAATGTCACTGAAAATTAGAGTTTGTGATTTATTCTTTCATTACAAAACTATATCCTTGCACAAATTCAGTAGAACCATAAACACAAAAAATTTCTGCATTGTATAGTTGATATTTTCAGTGGGAAATATCATGCCTGCTTACCAAATGAACAATGATGCTGATTCACTATTTCAAATTGCAATTATGGGCACTTGTACTCTACTACATACTGAAGTGATCCAAATGAGTTGAGAAACTTCAAAAATCACACCAAACAATTGTAGTCCAGTTATTTTTGTTGAATAGTCAGATTTTTTATAAGTTGATCCAAATAGGTTATATTATGTTCATATTGCTATAAAACAAAAACTTTCAGATTGTCATTAGCTCAAATTGTAGGGTTTTTTTGTTGTTGTTGTTAGCACAATTTAAACCTAGGTCTTGTTTAAAAATTAAAACATGTTCTCATTCTGAATATTAAAGATTTTAATTTACCTATAGTTTGGTAGGTAACTCATAAAATTACTTGAAAATTAATTAGCTTTGGGCAATAATAAAATATACATAAAATAAGAGATATATTTTTAAATATTATGTTTTTTGTTTGTTGTCAGATACTATATTTTCATAAATATTTTTATTTCCTTGCCTACTGTTGGTTGTTATTTTAACATTCCATTATGGAAAAGAAGGATTAAATCTAGCTATGTGAATGTCAGCTTATCTTTTTATTTCCTTTGACAGAGAACTTTTTCCGATTCTTTGGATATATGCTTTCCAAAACATGGTCTGTGAGTATTATTTCAAATAAATTAAAAAAGAATTACAGCGAAGCTAATTGTAACTTCATCTGGGAGTTATATCATGTCTTTCTGTATAATTTAAATGGTTTGCAAAGTGTTTGAAATATAAACATCATGAATGTAAGCTTTGCTTATAACATCTCTGATGATAAATATGAAAATATGTGAGTTGAAGTTATATTTATAAATCAATCTTAATAACAATTACTACACAAATATCATAATCATAGTAAAATAACTGTGTAACTAAGTAATCTATATTTATACTATACTATTCAGATCACTTAGCTCCATAAATATCAGCAACAATAATAGTTATATATAATAATGAGCAGAAGAAAAATGGACAAATTTGTTAGAAATTAAATGTAATTTTGTGGGCAAGAAGAGCCTTGAGCAATTGCCTTCTCATCTCTGTTAGAATCCCCCCAGAACATCATGATTTCTTTCGTACCATCTCTTTATATTCATTCATGTAACTATAAATATATGCAGTCTATATTTTCTATATTCACAGTATCAATACATACATACTTTATTCTCAGGCTCATTCATGAACATGCAGGTCAGTCTGCACAATATGCCCAAAATGTAGATTTCTCTTATATGATATTGACTTACAACTTTTCACTTTTGTGCAAAAAATGCAAAAATATGATACAGTTTAATAATCTCTCTAAAAAATCTCTTCTTTATGCTTTATGTTTTTGTAATTTACAAATAAATTATGAAATATAGTTCAATCACAAATTGAAAATAATTACAATGTTTTTATAACAAGGCATAGCTGAGGTTTTGAATTGTGGCATTCTGGAAGCCATCTGTCTTTCAAAACAAAGACATCAATATGTTGTTGTTTCTCAATATTTGTACCTTTTAATTACTCATATGAAATATATAGTTACAAATCTAATACTCATGCTAGTCAAATCGTGATTGTGTAGAATATGAATCTTATTTTTGTTTTATTACACTTTCCCCGAAAAGTCTTCTTTAGAACAATCTGAAAAGTCTGTTGAAATGACTAAGCTAGAACATTTCTGGAAAGTTCTCTGCCCCATAAAAAAGGCTGGAGAATAAGTGAAGCAAAATTGAGGAGGAATAATTTGAGTGTCTGCTCAGGAGAGATAAAGCAAATTGCAAGAGCTATTTTAGTTTTATCTCCTTTCTTTGACATCTCCTGGCCTCTCGAGAATACTAAAAATGTTCAGTTTTTAAGATATTGATTACAGTCTTCCATTAAATATCAGTTGTGGTCCTCCATTGCTCATGTTGTCTGTCATTTCCTGTTAGGAAAATAATATGATTTAATTAAAATTCGTTTTCAGTGTAAGACATTGTTTTGGTCAATAGATTTGCAAAGCAGAAATTTCAAGGCATTGAAAAACATTTTGTGGGGAAGGACAAGGATTGATATTGTTGCTGCATTTTAGGAAATGAAATTTCATGGCGTTCTGGAGCACATGAAAATGCCGAAGTGACAATCTGTTAGACCAGACCGTTCCACCCATAGATCAGTTCATTGTTTCTTCACGTCCCTGAGTTTCACTTTTCTTTCTTCCAATCTATTTTGGAAGAACTTTGCCTAGACAAAAGAAGATTGCGAAATGTCCATGTGTTCCCAATGTAGAAGCTCCTCTGCTGACCAAGTGCCAACACATTTCACAGTTTATCATCAGTCTTTACACAATGTGTGGCCTTTTGGTGAAGAAGGACCACAGGGGATTGATTTTTGCTTATCACTACATGTGAGTCACTAACAAATCACGGTGGGACAGGTTGGTTTAATGACACTATCACATATATTAAAAAATCAAAGCACTGAAACATCATAGTGTGTTTTAAAGGATCAGCTACTAAGAAATTAACAAGGATAAGTAGATAAGAAGGCAAATAAAATATAAATGTAAAGAATAAACTAACATTGAAAGTTCCATTTTCAGCTATAAAATATATATATTAAAGACATTTATGATTTTTGAATTTATATATTTTATTACACAATAAAAAGTGATGAGATATGAGGACTATTCCCCTTTATTGTGGTTAGTGAACTATATTATAAATAATGTTGGGAATTTTGTTTGAGAATAGGTTGACAACGTTTCTCCAAATCTGAAAAAGCCTTTTGCAAAGGAGCAGCAAAAATTTATCAAGTGTAAAATTATTTCTCAACTGTCTCATTCCTATCCGTTTCTATGTAGTGTCTGTTTGAAGAAACTGCTAGACATGTCTGGAGAACATGCTAGAGCTATACATACGGTGAAGATAGGTCAGAAAATGCATTGGATAACTGGATTGGCATTAAGTTTATTATAGTTAAGAAACAACTTGCGTTGAGGCTTCATGTAAGAATTCACTATAGACAGCAAGATAACTAGCAATCATTTCCTCAAAATGATCATTCATAAAATTTATCCAATATCTTTTCTTACTAATCCTACTAAAAGAAAAAGACAATTTTTACTAGATTTATAGAAATACCAATCTTATTCTTACCCACCTTTTCTAAAAAGACTTTGAACTTTAAAAAGCTGTTTTAAAAACCATAAAACTAAACTACCAATCTTTTGTGTGCATGATTTAAAGAAAGTTTAAAATTTTTTTTCAAAATAAAAGAATATTCTCAACTAAATTCATGCTAATGGGGATATAGGAAAATTACTGATAGGAAATTAATATTAAAATGGATGAATTTTCCAGATTTTTGCAAATAGACATGTTCAGTTTAATGAGCGATTGATTGTACTCTAAGTTTGGGCAGGACAAAATGTAGATATTCATAAGTGAGCATACTTTTTGCATATAGATTGTAGCATCTATATGATGTATTTCTAATTGCACTGCTTAAATAGACCAAGAACTTTGACTATTTTCAGCAAATGGAAATATATGGCCAATGCATCATAATGCACAATTTCAACAGACTAGACCTCCCCTATAGAAGAATTTCTGTATTGGTGTCAGTCTCTTGGCTATCTGTTCATGCATTGTTGGCATGATGGAGATACACAATTGCCTTTGTCCAGACTCATTTATTATCAAAAGCAAAACTCTGGTCTGTGAATGATATCGAGTCAGAATCATGATGCAGCAAAGAATAAAAGGAATCGTGAATCATCCAAACAGAAATGTGTTTGGATGTTTTATAAGCAGGCTGAATATTTTAAATACTCAACCAACTGTGAAGCTGCAAGACGCTGCCATGGAGGTTTAAGTCGGTTCCTCAAAGCAGCCCTTATGAGAGCGGTGCTTTGAGTAACAACTCTGCAACATCAGCCGTCTGATCTGCTGACATCATGGCTTCCTGAAAGAGGCTGCAGCGACATCACAACATGGCAACTCCCTAGAGGTCAGCGTACCTTGTAGGTAACTCTGGTGTCGGGGCACCACCGGGCAGCTGGGCAAGTCGGTTATTTCAATAGCCCTCAATCTCTAATGTAAATATAACAATTATACAATAAATATTGCACAAACATATATACAGAACACTAAGTCACACTAGTATAAAAGTAGAGCACAAAAGAGCCACTGTCTAAATACAGAATGATCACCTAGCTTCAATGATCTAATTATTTAAATTTTCAGTCCTCTTTCCTACTAATTCTTCTCTGAAGTACATGCGTAGAACTCTTTACATGGCTTTCTTGGGACAATTTAAGAGCATTTGCTGATGTATAGATTATACACGGACTAAAAACACGTAAATACCATATAAATATTTTTAACTCAAAAATAACATTACAAAGAAATATGCAGTCACTCTTTCCACTATTTCTTTTACTCTAGGGCTGTACAGTTTTATTTCCATGATATAAATAGAAGTGTAATTTAGCCATTATCTTAGCGAGTTTATTTCACAGGTGCTCATCTTTACCTTAATAGATAGTGATAAATACAGTAGTCTTTCCCTTAAGAGATATGGGAAATGAATTAAAAACATGTGCAAGATGTAGCAGAAGCATAGGCATCTCTCTATGCTATTTGTCCTTTCAATCAATTAATGTAACTTTCTGTTTGAATAGGTTTCCAGAAACAAGTATGCAAGGACCATTGTTTAAAATACAGTCAAACCTATCCAAATACGCATGAAGTTTAGATGAGAATTAAATGAAGCTTTACATGGACTGTAATATCTGCACTGATGGACAAGACTTTTTGTCACCTCATTAAAGAGCTTCTTTATTCTTGAATATCTAATTTACATAACCAGATGCATCTGCTTACAAGCACAAGGGCTGAGCTAGAAAAGAGAATTCATGCGATTTCTAAAACCGGCATTATTGAGTAGAAGTTGTGTTTAATTTATGTGTTTTTCCCCAGAATAATACATATAATCCATATTTATAAGGTATTCAATATTTTATTAAATGCTATTTTAGGAACTGTGTTTCGAAAAGACAGAGAGAAGCTATGTTGAGAATAGGTGTACCCAAAATTGCAGAGAAAATGTAACTGTGAAAATTCTTACTCTTAATCTAATAGGAGCCAATGTATAAAATCCAAACCTTCTAAACTGTCACCTAAGACTGCAAACTGATTCACCTATGGAGACTGCCGTCTTCGTCACATGACGGCAGTGGGAGGCAAAGGCACAAAACTCACTTTCTCAGCCATTTCATGAGAGTGATGCAGGGAATGCTCCCTTTCGGAGAACATCCTCCTCTGTTCATAGCTAGCCAGTCGACACGTGAGCCAGGAGGACAGGGTGCAGCCCCCAATCCCAATGCATGCCAGGGACATGGAGGCCAGATGCAGAGGATACAAGGAAGAGGTCTTCTTTGTGACTGCCCGAAGGAACTGAAAATTTAGGATGCCCCCAATGAGTCCACAGATACAACAGGCTGAAAAGAGGATCATCTGGTAAGGAGAAAGAAGAGGGGTGTTAAAGATGAGGAGGTCAAGATGCCCAGAACACACTGCCACGTGCTGCTGCATGCAGGATGGCTAACCTACAACATGGAGAAGGCACTCCTGGTGTTCCCCAGAGGAGCTAGCTTTCCAGCTGAAACTCTACTCAGTCTGAGTCACTGCCTAGGGAGTAGACCATAGTATCTTAGAAGCTGAAGCCAAAAATATGTTTTATGAAAATCCTGAAATAAATTTTCTCTTAGCCAGATTCTGATTTAAACAATATGCATTTAACATGTACTGTGTCTTATCGTGCTGATTGTAACAGATTTGATCTCAGTGAGTCCTCCTGGAAATCTTTTGAGAGAGATACTAAAACACAGTTTGGGAAAATGAGTGGCCATCAATGAGTGATAAGATGCAAAGTGAGGGACTGAACTCAGATTTTCCAAATAAAATCTAGTTTCGCTACGTCAGTCCTCTCCAAGAATCTAAATAGCTTACTTTAAATGAATTGTTGTTAGTGTCACCTAACTTCAGATATTTGTGTCTTTCTACCTATTTGTATTTAGAGAATGTGGTTAAATTACTTTTATTTTCATTTATTAAGTATTGTAATGTGTGTATATCTATTTCCACGATGGGTGGGTTAGGGACTTTCTGTGAACTGGCCCAGAGCCTGACTAATTCTTTGTTACTCTGTGGCATCACAATAAAATGCACACCATAGATATTCTGAAAAATACTGTTTGTTTATTCTGGATAAGCACAGAATGAGCTTTGTTTTTAATTTTACTAGTATTTGATCTGGGTTCCTATTCACAAATGTTGAAAATACTCGTCTACCTAAATAGGATCCTGAGCAGAACCAAGTGCAATGCTTTCTGTGCAGTGAGTATTTCAGAACCCAATGGACTATTTCAAGGACTTTTGAACTTTGCACTTTTGGGGCGTTGATCTAAATCTTCTGATGGGTTATCATGGTGCTATACAGGATGCTGCAAATTTAATTACCCAATCTTATTTCCATTCTTTAGAACACAGTGGCTACAGTGCTGCAATTGAACCCAGGGCAGAACTACATCCCCAGCATAGCTTGTTCATTTCCACTGCAAGAATAGTTCCTTGGAAATAATTTTGATTTTTCCTGGGCCTTTTAGATGGAAACCATAAATCAAAGTCCTATTTTTTTCAAAAAGCCTTTCTGAACTCTATTGTTTTCCTCCTTTGCTATAATTCTCCATGGCAAAAGCTTTACAACTTATATTAGCATTTACTTTTAAATTACCAGGTATTTTTGTTGTCAATGGTCAGTTTAATTTAGCAAGCACTTACTGAACAGCTAGTACCTACTACGCCCTGCATGCGGCAGCTGCTGGCAGAATAGCTTACAATTATCAACCAGAAGAGCTTGTAATTCCCTTTGAGTGGGTTGAGATCTTGTGAATGACAAGATCCAACCTGTCAACATGGCATGCTAAATATGAAGACAGAGGATTAATGTTTGTCCTAAAAGTAGGGAAGAGTAGAAGGTAGCCTTAACAGGGTTGTTCAAAATGTCCTTGAGAATGTGCCATCTCAGCTAAGTACCTACCGATCCCAGAGAGGGTCCAGGCACAGGCCCATGGAATAGCACAATAAAAAGCTTGATGGACAGAAAGAATTACAGTGCTATAGTTTGTTTCATTTATTGGGCATTTTTATTGCATCTGTCTCATAGTACATATCATCATGGTTGAAAACTCATTGATGGATGACTATGAATTTTTTATACTTGATTAATTACAATACCAAAATCAGTTACCAAATAATGAAATCATCCCACCAAGTAACAACTAGGAGCACACAACTTTAAGCAGTGCTAATCAGACAAATTTGATTTTAAAGAGTATTCAGATGACATGCACTTTCTTTAGAATGTATTTTTTTATTTATTCATTCTCAGCAAATAAAAAGATATTACACACTTGCCTTTAAATAATGAGTTACCACTAAGTTGGATGTATGGTGTTCAGGTGCATATTCCCTGTAATGAATGTGACCATTGTATTAAAGGTGTACCAAATGAATTAATTTAAATAAAAAGCTGTGGGAAATAAATTCCTGTTGTTCAAGCCAAAAAAGTAGATGACACTTAATTTGCTATAACAGGAAAACCAATATCTCTCCCAATGTTATTCTTATTAATTTCTTAAACATGATACTTCATTATGTGAACAGAATACTGTACCTGTGAACTAAAATACTTGTGCATACAAATTCATAAGTATATCCTATTTTCATATCACACGGAGCAAGAGATTCTAGACTGCAGAGATATTTGGAATAGAGACATTTTTACAAAGTTTGATCAGAGGGTAGAGAATTCTTGAGGCCCAATACCATCTACGGGAACTTCAGAGTACAGGAGCATAAGGTACCTTCTAGTGGTAGATACACTAAAGGTTCAGCTGTTGTGATTCTTTTCTTTTATAACATAAAAAATTTATAAAAGAGACACTAGTGCATTTAAAATTTTTCTCCACCCCCGCTCCCTTCTTCTCCCTCCTTCCTTCCTTCCTTCCTTCTTTTCTTCTTCTGTTACAACCCTAAAGACCTTTGGTAAAGGAAAGGTGTAGAAATGGGAAGCCTACGTCTAAAGAGTGATGAGAGAATCGCAAATGCCAATTACAAATATCAAAAACACATTTGTTCCCCAACGTTTCCTTTTCCCCTTTATATATATCAGAGTTAACTGGGAGCATGTTCACTACCCCAGAACCCCATACTAGTGTCATAAAACATCTGAAAGTACTTATATGTATTCTTACCATGATAAAATAAACAAAATAAATCTTAAAGAATCAATTATAACCACAGAAACACAGCTGTCCTGCTGCTTTGCAAAATTAGCTTCACAAAGAAAGCCAATAATCCCTAAGCCCATTCCATATTTAATCAGTTATGCTTTCTGTAGACTAAAACATTATCATTCTTAGTTCATTGAAGGATTCAGGTAATCACCTCAGAGTTTTGAAGTAGAAAACTGGAGACTGTCATACACAGCAGACATTCAAGTGTGTATATTTATGTATTTAAGGACTGTATCAAAGGTTTTTCTGTGTAGATGTTTTGTCACAGTCTCAAATACTCTAGTTTTTTTTTTTTTATTTGTAGGAAGAAAGGCCAGGATTTATTTGTCAGTCTCCTATGCAGTTCTAAATTCTCTGTTTTTTTTTTTATTTGTAGGAAGAAAGGCCAGGATTTATTTGTCAGTCTCCTTTTATTCTAAATTAGTAACATACAGTATGTGAAAGTTGGCTAGTCACCATTTTCATTCTGGAATTCTTATATTTCAAACACTCCAATGTACAATACAAACAAGGAAAAAACTTACGACAAGTCCTGATTTCTTTTTGGCGCACAATATTCCACATATGCCACAAAGGAGAAACTGCAAGGGAAAGGAAGAAAAATTATTCCATATTCAAACACACAAGACACCCTAGATTTTAGCTCATTTTAGTTCACTCATGACACTTTCTCCAGGAAGCTTAAAAGTTTTAAATTCCCACTGAAAAGGAAAATATCTCATTGTAGAGTGGTAAAATCCAAAAACTGTACTCAATAATGAAAATTGACTTCTTGCAAAGTTGATAAAGGTAAATGGGATTTAACAAAATTGAGATTAGTTTATCACCAGGAAAAACTGTATGTACAATGTAGTTTTGTTTCTCCTATTTCCTTGCATTGTCTTCTTATTCTTTTCTATTTTCTCAGGGAGAAAAGTGTTTTGCCTTTCATTCATTCATACTAAGAAACTAGCAAGAATTCATTCATACCTTCATTTATACTAAGAAATTAGAATTCAGTAGATTAGACTACAGGTAAGGAACCCGGAAAGATAAAATGGTAAAGCATCAGACAAAGAGATATTTCTCTACAGAGACTTTTTTGGACCTCTCAAATTGGTACAACTCCTCCCCTATTCCACCAGAAAGGCTGGTTTATAAACATGTCAGAAGTTATGGATGGCTTATCGCTTCCTGTAAATAAGGACACTGGTGACATAATTGCTTTGCAAAAGCAGCTACATCAAATCATCTACCATTGACAAACTATTTGGTGACAGACATTTTATTACCATAAGGTAGTAAATAATTGAATTTGGAAAGGAACATTTAGGGATACTTGAGTGCAAACTTGTACCTACTTCTAACTTAAGATAACTCATATAAATAAAGTAATAGATTCATTAATAAGTAGTAAGCCCTCTAAAGGCTCTAGATTTTCAAAGAAAATTGTTTCCATTTGGTTTGTGAAAATACTTTTGTTATTTCAAATCAGCACTAAAAATATCTGGCCCTAAGTATTGCACTTGGGTAGAATTTTAAAAAAATACATATCAAAATATTTTAAGGATTATTTTTAATAATGTGCTTGTGATAAACACTATAAAGTTTGGTGAAAAATAATGATTAAGGGGAGTAGTTGCAAAGCAACTTACCCTCAAGGAAGAAAAAGGACGATAAAGCAGGTAAAGGAGCAGGAAAACAGATGAGGACACATTAAGGTATACATGCATTTGTTATATAACATAGATGACTTTTAAAATTAATTGAGAAAGGGTGAGGACCATTTATTCAATTAATTAAATTATGCAATTTGTTAACCTTCCCTAACATCATAACCCCACATCAATATGAAACTGCTAAATTATTTAAATGTATAAAAATTTACAAGTGCATTTGGAAATAACGAAGTTAAATAGTTATGTAATTGTGGAGGAGTGGGAAGGGTTTCTAATTACAGCATTAAAGTCACAGACCAAAACAGAAGATACTTATAAATCCTAATGGAGAACACTTTAATTTTACTAATCAAAAATGTCAGTCACAAAGACAGAAAATAAATTGGAGTTATATTCAGAAGTCACATAATAAGTCAAACATTACTATATCATAAATAGATCTGACACAATATTTATAGTACTATAAACACATGAGAAGACAGAAACTCAGAACTTTCTAAATATTGAATACTTATATAATTTTCAGCTTTTTTGTGGTACTAGGGATTTGAATAAGTGTTCTCCTCAGCCTTTCTCTTTTTCTCTTTTTCTTTTTGTGAGACATGCTCTCCTTAAGTCACTTAGTGCCCAGGCTGGCCTTGAATTTGTGATCCTACTGCCTTGATCTAGAAGAGTGGTAGGATGACAGTATGTGCTGCCATGCCTGGTTTAAAAACCTATTTTTGAGTGACTCTTCTGACCATTTTTTCATTTCCTTCTGTGCCTCAGGTGAAGGAGAGTTTGTCCTGGTGTGTAGTCTTACTGATTCCATCGTGTATGCTTCAAGGCTATGGTCAAATCCCAGTTTGAAACAAATCTTTGCATCTCCTAACTTCAAACTCTAGATCAAAGGCCAAGCTTGTCCTTTTCTGAACTAACTCTAACTCAGCTTGGAAGTCCATTCACCCGCAGTTCGTTCTTAAAATAATTTGATATAATACAGTTATGTGTTCCTTAGATCTCTTTGAAATATGTGTATGCTTCAAGGCTATGGTCAAATCCCAGTTTGAAACAAATCTTTGCATCTCCTAACTTCAAACTCTAGATCAAAGGCCAAGCTTGTCCTTTTCTGAACTAACTCTAACTCAGCTTGGAAGTCCATTCACCCGCAGTTCGTTCTTAAAATAATTTGATATAATACAGTTATGTGTTCCTTAGATCTCTTTGAAATATATATATACCATCCCACCCTTACGGATACAACAGTTAAGTGTATTGAAATTTCAATTTTCTGTTGTCTCACTTAACTTGAATGAATCTAGAAAATAGAAGTTCAGAGTTGAAGAAGGCAAAGATAGAGTAGGAAGGAAATCAGGCAATATTTTTCCATTCTTCCTCTGCCTTGGAGTATAAATACTACCTAATAGTCATTTCTATTAGAGTATCCAAATCCATATTTCAGAATCCATATCCCTTTTTCAGATTTTTAATTTAAAAATGACACACATAATGGTAAATACATAAAATCACATCCAGGTAGGAAAACATAACAAAGAAGCCCGCATATTACCCACTAATGCGTGCTAATTATAATTTTAAAAAGGAACAAGAGTCTTAGGCCACAGTGGAACAGTAACAATGTCTTTTTCCTTAGGGCATATAGAGAAACAGATAGCTACTGTAACTACAGGAAAAGCAGAAGAAAAATAATTTACAAAAGGGATGAGGCAGGAATTCATCTTGGGCTTAACAATGCATGCTTGTACTGAGGCTTGTCAAATATATAAATTTGTATAAATAGATAAAAAGGCTATCACAAGAAGGGTACAGATGCTGAGAGGGTACCATCCGGAAACCAGGTGGACCAAGATGTCCTAAGCTGAGATTGGCCTAGAACAATGAAGAACCTTTTCTGACACCCCACCTGCCCTTTATCTTGAGCCTAGCAGGTAAGAGTGACAAATGCTAGCCTATGTCTCAGAAGGAGAGGCAAGAGCATGACATGGACCCCTTTGTGTGGGAGGTGAGCAAGGACTTAAGCTGAAGGTGGTGCACTATCACTGGGAAAAGACTTGGAGCACTTCAGCTTCTCTCTGGAGCACAAGGCAACCACAGCCCATCACAAGCAAAATTTGAGGACTACAGCACACCAAAGAAAATCATAGCAGCAGCAACAACAACAAAAAAGGTAATGCCTAACTAAAACAACTCCAACCTCTCATGACAAAAGCTTGAGAGAAGATATTAAGGTAAAATACCTATGTAATTTTGGAAGAAAAATGAATTTAACTTATATCATCTAGCCAAACTCTTCTTAAAACTGGTTATAAGAAAGAGGTGTCCGTTTGGCCAAGGGCATAGTGATAGAATGAATTAGAGCCCTCCAAAGATGCCCATGTTCTAATCTCAAGAGCCTGAATATGTTACCTTATTTGACCAAAAAAGCAGATGTATTTAATTTAAGGGCTTGAATATGGTTAGATTATTGTGGATTATCCAGGAATACATCTGTAATCACAATGACTTTGAATGGGAAAGCAAAGTCAAGAGAGACAGAGAGGGATGTATACTGGCAAAAAGGGCAGAGGGAATGAGACTTGAAGATGCTACAAAGCTGGTTTTGAAGAAGGGGAAGGGAGCCATGAGGTAGAGGATGAGGTGGCCTCTGCAATGAGAGAGGACAAGGAAGGGGAGTCTCCTAGTGCCTGTGAAAAGACTGCATCCCTGTAGGCCCGTCTAGACTTCTGGCTTCTGGAACTAAGAGAATGAATTCCTGATGTTTTAAACTACTAAATTAGTACTAATTTGTTACAGCAACAACAGGAAACTGCAACTCTGCAAAAGAATGACTAGAAGCTGTTCTTAAAGGAAGACGTGAGATAACAAAGAACGAAGCAGCAAAAGTACAAACTAAAACAAAACAGCAAATCTTGCAAATGGAAAAGTGTTAGGTGGCCAAATTAGTATACATGTAAAATGAACATCCCCAGGTCATTTTGGAATGAGACATGGGATGTGGAAGGTAAAGAAGATGTCAGCAAAATGTTGTAATATCCTTGTACTATGGAGCAGAGCAATAGAGATGCTAACTGGTTCTAGATACTGATAGAAAAGTAGAATCATACATTTTTGTGCTAAAATAATAACAAGACCAGAAAATATAAAGATAAAAATATAGCAACAACAATAACAACACTGAAAGTTAAGCCAAAAGATGTCAGGAAAATTAAAAATAGTGAAAAGGAGTAAAGTGAGACTATACAATACATTGGCATAAATAATTCCCATAGCAAGCAGTTGGGCCAAAAGTGAATGTATTCGATTTTCCTAACAAAGAGTTTTGCTAACACTTCCCCCAAAGTGAAAGAAAAACCTCATATTTTTGTCCTGGTTCTCTCTTTCTTATTGTCTCCTTTTCTTGATGACCTGAGTGACAAATTCCTTATTAATATTCTCTTCTCTGTAAGAAAGTTTACCTGGGGAAAGAGACTGAGAGAGAAAAAAAGACTACTGTAAAATTCCTCAGAGTTTTGTAATGAAAGATTATAGAACTATGACAGTTACGGCAGCAGATAAAAGCAGTGAGTCTTCAAATCAGGTGGAAATGCTCTGATGCAATTGTGATTCAATATTTAATACAAATGAAAGATTATGGGCCAATTTTGTTGAAAGGGAGCACCTTAAAATCTTTCCCACCCTTCATTTAACCACTTTCAGGTGAAATACTTGTCAAGAAATGTCCTAACCAATACAGATGTTATCATTAGAAAATAGAAACAGGCTCCTGCTTTCTTCCTCATTTAGGTGTTGAGCTCACTGAATCAAATACTTGAATAACCATTAACAATTTATACAACTTCAAAAAATAGTTTTCAAATGCATGGATGTATTATTGGGAAAACACACAGAGCAAAGGTTAAATGCTGCAAAACTGGCTTGAAAAT